CCTTTTAAAAAATAAAATCCATTATTTATCTTTTCCTTGAACTTTATTGACACTATATTTTTCCTTCATAACACATTTCAATATCTACCTTATAATCTCAGTCATTTGCATACTTTTATATCACTGAGCTCCTTGCCTGAAATGCCCAACCTGCTCTGACTTACCTCTAGCACTAACTCATCTGTTATGCAGACAGCAGCTTCTGTCTGTCCATTTCCCAGTTCCACCTGAGTTGCTCTTCTATCTACCTAGACACAACTCTATTTTCATTTAATTATGTATGGTTGCTCTATCACCCTGACAAACTGTAAGACACTTCATAAAAAAAAAAAAAAAAAAAAAGTATATCCCATCTCTCCTTTAGTGCCACTTAAGAGAATCTCAATAAATGTTTAATGGATTATTTATATTCTGCTGGTAGGAATCTTTGACAAGAGACTTTGTGTTTTTTTCTTTATTTTCCCTGAGCAATGTAGTAATGTTCTGCAAAATTATTTATAAATATGAGAACAATCTATACTATCTATACTAATATAAGGGTAATATGCTAATTAGACCAGGAAACCTTCTGGGAGACTAGCCAGGGAGGGCAGTTGGAAGCCATTAGGCCAGCCAGGGAGGGCAGTTGGGAGTGAACAGGCCAGAAGGTGGGGCAGTTGGTGGCCAGCAGGCTGGCAGGCAGAGTGGTTAGGGGCAATCAGGTAGGCAAGCAGGTGAATGGATTGGAGCCAGAGGTCCAGGATTGTGAGAAGGATGTGGAATTGGGCCTAAAATGGCAGTTGGACATCCCCCGAGAGGTCCCAGATGGGAGAGGGTGCTGGCCGGACTGAGGGACAACCCCCCTCCCCATGCACGAATTTCGTGCACTGGGGCCACTAGTTATAAAATAATATCAAGTTACTGCCTTTGTAGAACAAAATACAGGAAAGCTGAATAGAGAACAAATGGAATGCAGGCGGATATCAACCAAATGTAAGGATGGGGTCAGAAGGAAAGGGAGTGATAGCTAGAGGAGAGAATGGGGTAAGAACATTGTAGTAGGGAAAGAGATAAACTAAACAGAAAGATCTAAAGAAGGAAGATTTTTTAAAATGTTTCCTGTAGTCTGTCCCCAAGAAGAAACATAGGGAAGCCAGATAAGAGGCTTTTTAAGTAGTCCAGCCCTTAAACAGCAGCACATCATTGGGCAAAATAGGAGTTGCTTGTGAAATTAATACAAGAATGCAAATGTTGATTTGACAATGAAATTTTTGCAGACTTTGAGGAAGCAGCATGTCCTATAAATGGAGCTTGGCCGGGCTATGTAAATACAGTGGCTTCATGCTCTTGGTCAGAAGGAAGTGCCTTTGGCTTGAGTGATTTTCCTCACCAGTATTGCAAACACACCATCCTTAGAGTTTGAATCTAATGACTAATATGAAAGCTCAAGCCTTGAATGCACTCAGAGGAGAACCCAGATTTTTCTAGAAAAATATTTACGTTTAATCATAGATTTCCCCCTATTCAAATCCTTGGGCATCAATTCACACCAAACCATTTATATTGTTGCTTATCTGCCTAAAACTACTAAACTCTAAATCTGTAGTAATATTTCTTGAGCTCCCAGACTTTAAGCACATCAGTATTGGAAGTGAAAAGCACTCTGTAAACCAGCCTGTGAGTCTCAGCGGTTGTGCATCAATCTAGGAACCAGGAGGTCACAGTTATATTCCTGGACAAGTTTTGGGCTCAATTCCCAGTAGAGGGCATACAGGAGGCAGATAATCAGTGATTCTCTCTCATCATTGGTGTTTCTATTTTTCTTTTCCTTTCTGAAATCAACAAAAATATGTTTGAAAAAAAGAAAGAAAAGGACCCAGCAGGTCACAGCAGTCCTCCTAGCTATCCCTGCCCCCTCACTATCATTTTTTCCAGTGACAAAACAGAGGTCCATTGATGTGTACAAATCACAAAGGTATCCATTAGAAACAGTGCTTCTACAGTTATGAGGACATTTTTATGTAGCCAATCTACCATGAATCCAAGGTCTCCATTACAAAGGCAATTTCTAGATTTTCATGCCTTCATTCACCCTTATTTCAATTCACTAAAATATATCCTGAAAAAAATAATGCTTTGCTTTTAGTAGTAGCATTTTCATAAATGTCAAAGATTCATAGATTTGCTGCTAAGAAACATTAATAGATTCAATGATAAATCACAGACAGAATAAACTTAATAAGTTATCAAAACTGAGATATATGAGAAATTACTATCTCACATGCATTTACTTTTTAAAAGAAAGAATATATATATATATATATATATATATATATATATATATATATATATATATATGTATGTATAATTCTAATTAGATATAGAGGTAAGATCCCTTATGATTCTTACATTAGTGGCCAGATTTGATATATCTTAAAACTCTTCTCATCAGCCGAAACCGGCTTGGCTCAATGGATAGAGCGTCGGCTTGGGGACTGAAGGGTCCCGGGTTTGATTACTGTCAAGGGCATGTACCTTGGTTGCAGGCATATCCCCAGTAGGGGGTGTGCAAGAGGCAGCTGATCGATGACTCTCTCGCATCGATGTTTCTAACTCTCTCTCTTTCTCCCTTCCTCTCTGTACAAAATCAATAAAATATATATTTAAAAAACAAAACAAAAAAAAACCTCTTCTAATCAAAGTAATTGTTATATATTATGAAATAGGGAGGACAAAATCTTCTTTTATTCAAATTATGTTTTAAATCTTATTAAAAGTTAAATTTTATTCTCAATTGGATAAATTTTATTTATTATTTTATTTTATTTTTAAAATATATTTTATTGATTTTTTTTTTTTTTAACAGAGAGGAAGAGAGAGGGATAGAGAGTTAGGAACATTGGTGAGAGAGAATCATCAACCAGCTGCCTCCTGCACACCCCCTACTGGGGATGTGCCCGCAAGCAAGGTACATGTCTCTGACTGGAATCGAACCCGGAACCTTTCAGTCTGCAGGCTGACGCTTTATCCACTGAGCCAAACCGGTTTTGGCTCATTTGGATAAATTTTACAATAAATCACTAATGTAGAAACATAAAAATGAAAATATAAGCAACCATCTGTGAAGAAATTCTTAAAGCAGCATTTCTACAAACAACTTTGTGAAATAACTGAAGTACAGTAAAGTGCAAATCTGAAAGTGTACAATTTGATTACTTTTAAAATATGTTGACTACTACTGTTCAATCATCAACAAAATCATAGATAACAAACATATCTATTACTCCCAAAGATTCCTTATAACCTGTATAATCCACTTCTTTCCCCATCCCATTCCTAGACAATCACTGATCACCTTTCCGTTGCTGTTAGTTTGCATTTTCTAGAACATTATGTAAGTGAAATTATAAGCAACCAATAACTACTTTTCTTTCTTTTTTTTTTTTTTTGCCTGGTTTCTTTCACTCAACACATTGAATTTGTAATTTATCCATATAGTTGTATGCATCAGTTTAGAACCTGCCCATCCATTCATCTGATGGGTATCTGGGTCTTTTTTGGAGAATAAAATGCATACTCATTTGCTTCTTTCTGTAGTGTCCTTGGAAAAATTACTAGTCTCTCTGACTCTTAGTATTCTCCTCTACAAACATGTGTGTAATGTCTGTCTCATAGGTTTTACAAGGATTAAATCACTGAACACATTGCCTGACACTCAATTGCCTTACTGGTGTCAGTTATGAGGTGACACTTTCCTCCTATTAAAATGCTGTCATTCTTTTCTAATTATTTTAGTGTCCACTTGAACATTACCATAATTCAAGCCCCATTGTCTGCTCAGCAGACATAGGGCTACCAATATAGTTGCTTCTTAAAATTTCATTATTCTTTTGGATTTTATTGGCTACTATAACTGGTGACAAATTGTTCTATTGTTTACATACATGCCCACACTAGCTATGGAATGTCTACCTGCAGAATGTGAAGACAACTATCAGGCCAGGATCTGTTTCTAGAAGCTTCGAACCTGTATTTGCATTGTAAAAGTTCTATATAAAATGATATGATATGTTAATTTGTGCTGCTTATGGGGAGGAGCAGTTGAAAAGAATTATGGATTTGAGGAAGTAACTAAAGCTCTTCTAATCTACCCATTGCTACTACCAAAGTTCATTCCTTTCTCTTTGTTTTCTTTTTCCAAATTATTATTTCTTCACTGCTACTCCTTTAAATGTGCCCACATTCAATTTTCTTGTCTGGTCAAATTTTGTCTATGAAAATACTGATATAAATAAGTAAATACATAAATAAATAAATACATAAATAAATGGTGTTGATTTTCTCTTTCTTCACATTCTTTGTAAATATTATGTCCAACTAAGCTGCTGAATCTAGTTCAGTTGGCAGATGGTGATGGACAAAAGAATTTTAATGCCCCCTGTGGATATTATAAGTGGGTTTGTGTGTGTGGATGGGGGTTTGGGGGGCTAAGGTTTAGCACCATGCTAATAAGACCAAGCCAACATATTTGATAGTTATTGGGATCAGCTTGGTTTGCTGAAATGCCAATTCTTTTCACTTAAAGTTGACTTTATTGACATAGTTATTTGTTCACCAAAAAACAGTGTAGGTGGTCATATGTGGGAGTGGAGTGGATAACAGATGAAAATGTGAATAAAAAATAATATATCCTAAAGATGACTAGATGACAACATCATTTCTATATAAGGGAGATTGTATGATATTGCCATTAGTTCCTTCATAGAATTAGAAATTGCACACAGTACGGGCATGTTTCCTATGAACTTTGAAGTCCTCTGGCATGCACAGTATTGTTCAGTATTTTAATTGATTGAAACAGTTACAAAGAAATTACCTTTTTATTTATTATTCAGAAAAGTGAAGACTTTATATTTCATTTTTGTACCTAATTGGCTAACAGGTATGTGCACTCCACCCAGAGTTTTTTATGGAAAAGTACCCATTTTAAAAAATAATATGATGTTTTTTTGTTTTATCAGGGATAACACTGTAATATGCAGAAATCTACAAATTTAGATACTTCTGTAGAAACACTGAATTCCACCCGCCAAGGCACTGGAGCTGTGCAGATGAGAATCAAAAATGCCAACAGTCACCATGATAGACTGAGCCAGAGTAAATCCATGATCCTCACCGATGCTGGGAAGGCCACTGAACCTGTAAGTCAATATCCTTAACAACCAAGTTCCCTAACACAGAATTTTGTAAAGAAAAACAAAACAAACAAAAAAACAACAACACAACAATAACACGAATTAGCCTTGTTTTATTGGTTTTCCTAATGTGCATGAGAAAACTGATTTTGTAATGTATTTTATCTTGGCTACTTATAGTCATAATAATGTCCCCAGATGCCAGAGAAGAGATGAACTTAATCCAGTGATAAAGTGGATTTGGAGCTAGACCGAAGAGCACCTTTGCCTCATTTTAAGGGCCTCCACTATCATGCTTCAGTGTCATAAAAATAATGAGGTTATGTTAGCATGTGGTGTTTGTACTTCCAGATATAGCACATCACTTTGAAAAGCCAGAGGCTAAAATTAGCTAAGAATAAACCGAGACGAGAAAAAAAGTCTTTGGGAAAAAATAAAGTGACAATTTATTTCTTAAAATTCTTCCAGCAATATATGATATTGGAAATTAGGACCGATTTGGAATGAGTGAAGAGATTGAAATGGTGTGGCAATTTAAGGTTTGGAGAGGAAGCCATTTTGTTTCGATAATGTGTCATTAGGAAGATCTGAAATAAAATAGTTAGAGATGAACTCTACTGCCAATTGTGTCCCTGCCCCTGCACGCATCCTGAGCCACTAAACACACTGATTGCGATGAGTCTCCTCTGGTTAATTTTCTTCCATAATGGTGGTAACTTGCAGCTGAGGCCATAGGATGTTACAAAATTATTTATGCAATGTTAGCCACTCTTTTGGACCCCGGATCTATTTTGTTTCTCACAGTGAGAGCAAAAGCGAGAAATAGGTTAGCTGGGGACAGGCTGTGTTTTCCAGTCACCCGGCAGAAACATGTGAGCTATTAATTGTGTGTTCTGTTAATATCACAGGGACCTATGAAATATTCAGCTCCCTAACTGAGTTATTAAATGAGATAAACTTTCTGAGTAGCAAGTTACCAATTACATGTATTCCCTGTTTTTCACTCAAATTTCAAGTGCAAAATTAACCCACAATTATCTCAGGCACCTGAGAAATGTAGGATTTGAAACATTCCTTCTTTAGGTATTAAAGGCAAATTTAGCATAAAGAAGCCAATGATTATATTTTGGGAGCGAGAAATACACCCTCGGATAAGGTATCCAGAGATGCATTTTTCTTTATTTATTTCTCATTTAAAAGCATTGTCTGTGGGGAGGCGCAGCACTGCCAGTCCGACTCTGCTTTTGAACCAGCTAAAATGTTCCTCAACTATGGACTTGAGGCAATGGTTAGAGTAAATTATTGGAATCTCTATAATGTATGATCAGGAAGAACAATACCTTTGAAGAAGTTTAAAAGTTAAGTATATTTAATGATGCCTAACATATTTTATTGGCTGTGTTTAACAAAAGGCACTATGCCGCAGTTGTTTTTGACAAGCATGAAAACATCACAGCGTGAGACTGCAAAAGGAATTATGGAGAGAAATTACAAGTGATCCATCTCTCAATGAATTATCCACCTCAATAGCCCGCAGAACTCAGCTACCAATTAACACCTACTTTATTACATGTTGGGATGTACTTAATAACTTTCATGTGTTTATGCACTATTACCTTGACTGATGCCTCTTGTACAATTAGGCATAATTGGCATATCAATATGCAAAAGTTAAAAGGATTAACCCTCTTAAAACTAATGAGCATTTCTGTATCCAGCTGCTAAATGAGACAAAATTAGCATTTTTCACTTTTGGGCAGGATTTTATCATGCAGTTTCTCATTGTTGATATTACCTTGTTACATAACTTTAGTTTGGGGGTTTGCATGCTGGACTGCTGGAGAGTAAGAGTTTTCCAAAGTTAAATCAGCCATAATTATCCAAGCTTTTGTTTCCTCATTCTTCGCCTGGGCAATATGTATTCCTCGATAAGGAACAAAAATAAGTTACTTTGGGTGATGTGTGCTCAGTGCATAATTATATAAAAAGGGTATTTCAGTGAGGATATGTCATTTTACTGAGAAAACTTGGCTCAGAGATACTGTATTGAAAGCTTGCCATGGCACTAATTTTCTTTCTGTCTCAGTTCTTTTCATCTCTTTTTTTTTCCCATGCACAATTTTCTGACTAGATACTGACAGAATGTAAAGTATTTGGGCATATTTATTCAAACAAGCCTGTTAAAGATATCTGCTAAAGCTAACTAAGAACTTGATCTTTCAGAAGTGGAAGGTTGGAGTGAGGTCAAGGGGGTTTTGAACTTAGGAGAAATAGGAGAAATGTACAATATAATAAAAATGTGTGCACATGTTGTAACAGAGATACATACATTTAATCTGTACAGAAAAAATTAAAAATACTTAGAAACTATATATATATCTTATGCATCTATTAATATGCATGGATATATATGTGTGCATCCTACTTAATATGCATGGTGTATGTGTATATATGTACACTGGCATGATAATTATGCAAATATGGACTTATTAGAGTACATAATAACAAGAAACTGACATTATGTTCATAACAATTTAACTTATTACAAAAAAGTAATCAAAGGTTCTAGGTCAAATCAATTATATAATTTTGTCATTAGTTCACAAATTCATCTTCTTTATTTTGTTCAGTTATAAGTATGTTCAATACAACTGTGAGCTCAGAACACAATATAAATTTCTCCTCTATGCCTGATTAGAGCATATTTGTTGGTGTTTAAACCTAGGAGCAAAAGTTTGAAATGTCAATATGAACATTAATTCAACCCCAAGACCTGCAAATGTAGGTAAATTTACTTGTTAAATTAAACGTTTTGATTACCTAAGTGCTGCAGGGAAGCTTTTCAGTGACCAGGTATCGATACTCCATTACTATTTTATTGGGTGGTGTGCATCATTTTCCTTAAACAGCAAATAATCATTTTTATGTGGTTTATAAGATCGATGCGTTTTCAAAATTCAAAGAGGTCACTTTAGTACCTGGGGAATATTGGCAAGGGAGGAAATTTGGACATGGGAGGACATGGTTAGCAAGAAAATTGCCTATCTGTGAGCAAGATCTGGAGACCTCTGCTTGGTGGGGAAAAAATGTTCTGTGGTCTCAGTAGTTTGCTGTCTCACCCTCAGTACTGGAGAGAGCCCTCTTAAAGGTGACTGCTGTTTATTTACCAGAATGTGCTACCCACAGATGCAGAAAGCTTAGAGAGTGTAAATGGGGCAAGTGAACTGTGGCTCTTTAAGGGCTAAGAAGACTAGTATGCAATCCAGCAAATAGCTAATGCAAAAGTTTAATATGGCGTTGGTGGTTTTTGTTTGTTTGTTTGTTTGTTTTTGTTTTTGTTTTATAAGAATGATTCTCCAAACTAGTAGACATTTTAGAATAGATATTAAAGAAGAGTTTGAATAGTTGAAGTCAGGAAACTGCAGACATAGGATTTGCAGGCAGGAGTAGTTTCACTATTTCATGATGGTGGCTTAAGCAGCAACATGTATGAATATTTACCATTTCCATCTTGTACACCCCGCAGAAGTGCATTAATTCATTCATGGCCATTATGGACAGGGAAATATCTTTCTATTAGTGTTCAGATAAAGACTTAGCTTGAACTGTTGCTAAACATTAACACATGAGATTCCTTTTGCTTCTGTTAATAGTCTGGGCTCGTTCGTGTTCCTTTTTAATCTATTATAAGAAAAAAGAGGAAACAACTTTCTTTTGTTTCTTACTTCTGTGATTATAGGATACTTGCCAAAGTTGTGGCTAGCCAAAAAGGCAGACATAAAAATTGCTACTAAAAATATAAGCCTTCTGTTCAGTCGAGTTTTTGAGAAATGTTATGAGACTGTATGACTTGTCCGTGTTTACTTCAAATCAAGCTTTTCCTTAGGTTTGAGGGTTTGTTTGTATAAATTGTCCTGAAGTGGATCCTGATATTTAATTAAAATGACACTAAATCACTTTGAATTGATAAGACTTGGCATCTCAAACAAAGGTAATTGCCCGTATTGGTTTTGTGCAAAAATAGCGCCGCTTGGAAAATGTGCAGCCAACACAGACTGTCAGCTCCATTTATAGATCAATATGTGAAAACCATTGATCAGGCAGGCATGGATAACAGTAACACTTTGCATTTATTTGTTGTTTTTATACCACATTAAGGCTTACAGGATTATAGGCTTCCTAAATATTTTGACTTCCTCATAAATATATGATCTGTTGCATGTTAATTAAATGAGAGTCTACAGCCATTTCTAAAATTGTTTTTAGTTTGATGATTTCCTTTTATTGCTGTGGATTGTATGATCTGGAAAAGGATTAGTTTCCTTCTGCATAAAGATTATTAAAGCTCATTTTAATGTGTCCTACTTAATGTACGATGCGCCTGCCTTTTTGCTTTGAAAAATATGGATACAGACAATTATTTTCTCTTAGCGAGTCGCTGATTTTTTATTTATTTTTTTATTAACTGGGCAATCTCAGCACCCAGGGTAGAATTATTTTCTGACATATTTCACACGCCCGGTAGATAACGGGTCTTCTCGATTTCTCCTCATAGAATTTGTTTTCTTTCTTTTTATCTAGCTCTGTCGTACAGGCATCTGATTAAACATTATGTAGAAAATAAACTGCTCATCTCAATTAAATTCCAGACACACACAAGTATAATTTGAATTCTGTTTTTCTGATTCAACATCAAACCTTATGAGCTGTTGCTATACACTGCATCCCACAGTTAAATCTTCCTATCTCATCAATGTAAGGACAGGGTTTTGTTCCTAATCTTTATTGGACTATTGCTATGACATTTGTAAGGCATTTTGGTTTATAAGGAAAAGCTGGAGGACAGTGGTGTGCGACTCTCCATAGATCCCAGCTTCAGATATGACGAAGCAATAATGTGTCTTCCACCGCAATTTTCTTTGCCACTGAGAGGTCAATTTTGTTGAGAAATCTTTTTATATCCTCCATATACATCAGGAGTGCTGCTTTCAACAGAATACTTGGCC